CCCTGACACCGCCCCGCCCGTCCCGAGTTTCCCCGGGCCGGATCCCCCCGGCAGCGCGAAGCCCGCGCCGCTGCCCCCCCAGCCCTGCCCGTGCCAGTGCCCGTGTAGCCCCGGCCGGCCCGGGCTGTCAGGCGCGGCCCCGCCGGGCGCGGGCGGGCGGTCACTCACCACGTGCGGTCTGCTGCTGCTGCGCCTGCCACTCCAGGAACCGCGCCGCCTCCAGCAGCGTCTCGATGCTCATGGCGCGGGCCCGGCCGCCGCCGCCGCCGCCGCCGCCCGGAGCGCGGGCCCGCCCCGCCCGCGCCGCCCCGGGCTCGCCCCGCCGGCCGCAGCGCTGGCGACAAGATGGCGGGTGGCAACAGAAACACAACAGGCGGGCGCTGGCGCGGCCCCGCTACTACGCGGCGGGCGGCGCCAAGACGTGGAGTGGAGCTCGGGGCGCCGCCCGGACGGGACGGGGCGCGCGGGGACGCGACGGCCGGCCCGGGGCGGGGACGCGNGCACGTGCGGGCCCGCCGCCCCCGCGGGGCTCCCCCGCACCGGCAGCGGCGGAACCGCGTCAAACCCCCGGAACGGGCCGCGGCCGCTGTGCCATCCGCGCCCCGCGGGGCTCCCCGGCTGTGTCCCGTCCCTGCAGAGCCTCCCGGGCTGTCCCGGGTCACCGGCTGCGGGCACGCGTGGCTCTGCGCGGAAGGGAAACGCCGAACCCTTTCTATGGATAAAAGCAAGGCAAAGAGGGAGCCCGCTGGAAGGGGTCAGCCTCCGGTGCCCGGGACGCCTCGCACCGGCTGCCCGCCGTTAACGGGAGCAGCGCTGCCCTGCGCCCGGCCCCTTTGTCAGCAGCTTGTGAAACGAAACTGAACTTCCATTATCCGCAAGGAAATTTTCCATTCTAATTGCCATTCCATCTACCTCTGACTGACTGCTGGTTTTTGGCTGGGAAGCGATACTGAAGTAAAGGGAAAATAAACTGGTTAGTACTTCTCACTGAAGGAATGGGATTTAAAAAAAAAAAAAAAAAACAACAGATTTTCATATGAGAATTTTCATTCTACCTACAAACATTAAGGAATTTACAAACCGAAACTGCCCTGAGGAATGGCCACTGAAGGGGGCAAGCCCAGATCCTTGTGGGATGGGCTGTTCGGGTTTGTGGGGCTTGGGGCTGACTCGAGGTGCTTGTGTTTGCCCGAGCCGGGGGTCAGGGCGATGCCCCGTCCTTGCTCAGCCTGTGCTGCTGGCCTCATGCACTGCACGTTCTGTTCGTCGGATCCTCCTGATGCAAGCAGTCATTTCCTCCCGGGCTTTGCCGTGAACTCATCCCCGCGTTATCAGAATTCCTCAAACAGCAGTGAGGGTGGTGTCATCACACATGAGCAGAAGAGGCAGATAAAATACAGATGTAGGTGAAGCCTGGCCAGAAGAACTCACCTGGGGTAGCTTTGGGCAGGTGTAGCTCATGGAGGGACAAGCTCATTTCTCATCGAACTTGTCAGCTGCTTTCCAATCATCTCGCAAACGGCCTCGCCGGCTCCTCCCAGCTCCCGCAAATGAATGGAGGAGTTCCACACCGGGAATGCCTTCAGTCAGCCAGCGCAGCTCCCCAGAGCTGTGTGCTGAGCTCAGCCTGTGACAGCACCGCTGGAAGTCACACGGTGCTCGGGAACACAGGGCTGCCTCCAGCTGACACCTCCCGGGCTCTTCCCTTTGCAGCCTGGACGTATTCGGGTGTATTTTGCATGTGCTGTGTGTGGCTGTGTTTGTCACGTTCAATAACCGGGTTGTCTGATCCCAGCAGAGGAGCCGGGCACAGCCCAGCCCCTGGCAAACGCAGCTGGAGAGCAGCAGAGAGCTGGGACACCCACAGCTCGGCTGGCTGTCACCCTGCAGGGTTGGACTGCTCATCTGGCACCTCAGGAAGCTGGACATCCTGACAACAAGGTGACTTGGACTTCTCTCAGGGGGGAGCACACAGCAGTCCAAGCACTTTGCAGCCCGAGCTGCTGGTGTGGGCTGCAGTGCTGCAGACCAATCTGTGTACGCACGTGCGAAGTGCAGTGGTCTCCAGCCAGCTCTCTGTAATCCTACCAGCCATTTGTAGGATTTTCAGTAGGATTTGTAGGGTTTACAGTGCCCTTCTAGACGGACTGGGTTTGAAGAAGGAGTTGCTGCTCTGCCATCAGCCCTGCTGTACAAACTGCACCTCCTACCCTGCCCTGCCTGCAGCGCTGCAGCCCAGCCCTGCGCCCTGCAAGGCCTTCAGTGGGCAAGACAAAAATCCCAAACAAGACAACAAAAATGAGAGATTAGAGGAGGTTATGGAGCGCACAAGAGGCAGTGCTCTGACTGACTGAGGGTGCTTGAGTGAACACAGCTTTTGAAGGAAACGTTTTCAGGTGCCCTAAAATAGTTTTGTCCTGTGCTGGGTTAATGCTTTAGCAGGAGGCAAAACATTCCTTCTTCTGCCTGCTCACATCTTTTGCAACACTAATCTCCAAGGAGAGCTGTTTGTTTTGAAACCTTGAGCTCTGTGGGCTCTTGACTGCTAAGCTGGCTCCTAGCTTTGGCAGCTCACAGTAGAAATCAGCGTCATTAAACATTCATATCTGAGTGATGTTTCCTGATTAAATTTACTTATTGCAAGTTTTTAGACCTGGCTGACAGAGCAGCTTGTGTACACATCTAGAATCCATCAACTGTATATATTCATCTACCTCTGGAAGGCTTTATGGAAGGGTTTTCACTGAATCATTTGACACTTACTGAGGACAGGGGTAAACCAGAGCACTTACATTATCTGGGCTGACTTTGTGAACACTTTAGGGACAGTGTTTAAAACTTTGCACGTGTGTTAGAAGCACCAAGAGGTCCAATTCTACTCCATTATGCTCCACTTGGGAAGAGCAGGCGCTGCCTCCACAGCCCTGCCAGACACAGCCCCGGGGGGCTCAGGCACCAGGAGCCACAGAGGCTGGGTGTGAAGTCAGAGCTGTCCTTCCTGCCACACTGCCCAGCCTCAGGGACTCCTCTCGGGGCTGAGCTGCTCCTCCCCACCTGGGCTGCTCCTGGCAACGACCCGTGGCAGGAATCTCTTCCCAGGAAGAGAAGGCTCCTGAGCAGGTGGCACTGCTGGAGCTGCCACATCCAGCTCTGCACTAGGGGGACAGGGCTCTCTCCAGTTTCCATCTGTGGTTTTAAAACTTTCAGTTGAATCCTTTGACTGATGTTGTTTTGATCTTCTCTAAATATTGGATGTAACTTATGAGAATTCAGACCTTTGGTCTCCTTATAAGTATATATAGTTTCCAAGGCGAGCCTTTTTACCTGTTTTGAGGGAATGCCCAGGGCATTTTGTCTTATCTGTGTATTATTTCCTGTTTAGTCAGTCCTTTAGATCGCATTGGATGATACTCAGATGGCACAGATATTGATCTCTACTATGTTGTGGCTGTAGCTGAGCCTGAAGGAAATCACTCTGAAGCATTCTGGGTGGTGAATTTGGATAATACCTTAATCATGAAGCTTGGCTGTTGTAAATACCTTTCTTTGTTTCCAGAGTTATTGATGGCATTATATGGAGTTTGAATGGGCTTGGATTTACTTAGATAAAATTATGATATTCATATATAGACAGTGCAGGAAAAAGCAGCAGTGTTTATGAGGCTCATCATCTTTCCTTATATCCACCCTTCTCCCCCCATAAAACTGACGAGATTTGAAAGGAGATGACAAATTTCCATTTGAGGATGACGCTGCCTTACAATGGCACAAGGCTCACCTCGTACCCTGCAGATATCCTAAACTAGGGATGTGATGGATGTTAAAAAAACTGCTTCAGCTGGGCAGACCTGGAAGAATAACTGCAATAGTGGTGCAGATCTGACAATCTCCTTCCTGCTCCTCTGCTTGTTTCCTTTCTGGCTGTGCAGCAAACAGCTTCTCTGTGCTCACACCATCCCCAGGGTTCTGCAGCCCGTGACCAGCAGTGAGTTTAGCTTTCTGGCAGTATTCATCTCTGTGACTTTTCCCAAGCTCAGAAATTACTCTCACTAATTTCCTGACTTTTCTGAGGTCACACAAGCCCTGAGAGCTGGTGGCTGTGCAGGGACTGAGCTCTGTGTTTGCACCCTGGGCTGAAAACTCTCAGCATCCATCTGCTGCAGCTGGGCTCCACCACTCAGCTTCCAGCACATGGGAATTCTGCTCTTCCCTCACTCTGAATAAGCAACTTTTCAGTTCAGGCATCTGAATAATCTGTCTGGAGTCGCTGGAATATGTGACTGCCTGAAGTTTTCTCTCCCGCTTAAATACTTTGTTGCTCAGGGCCTAAATTATGACTGAACATAAATGATTAAATGAGTGTTAATTCTCCCTTTTCAGGCTTCACACCAAATAAGAAATCACCCCCAACTGTGCTCACATGAAAGCAGGAGTTTATCTCAATATTTTAATTTTGAAATTCAAGCGCCAAACACAGAAAAACCCACAAGGATGAAAATAATTAGTGCTGTTTCTTACTGAACCATTCTGACTTTCTCTGTAATCCTTTTATTTAGGGTTTTAATTATGAATAAATTCTTATTGTAAATATTTAATCATGGAGAGTGGTTAAGCAGGACATGTGTGATGAACAGGTCTCACACAGATGTGCTGATATGGCTTGAAACTCATCCATTCCTCCCACAGCAGCACCTGACATCCACCCTGGGGCAGGGCTGACGCCGGATTCACGGGGTCTCAGACACTCCCCAGGTTCCTCCTGGTTTTACCCAGTAATCCCTGCACTGGCCCACGAGCTTCAGCATGACATAAGGACAGTTTATATTATGCCAATAATATGTAATTGATAATATTTCTACTATAACAGCACATACTGCTACAGGGGAGCTCAGGGGAAGACGCAAACCCTCACTGGGCTCCTGGGGCTCACACCTGGGGCTGGCTTTTCCTGCTCTGGTGCATCCTGTGGTCTTCACCTGTGCAATCTGAGCAGGCCCAGTTTGATGTGCCTCTCTCAGCAGGTAAGAACCTGACCTTGTGTGGGGAAACTCTGAATGCAGAACCTGCTGCTGAGCTGCTGAGGAGCAGGGGGAGGGAAAGGCCCATCCAAAGTCCACAGGCTGCATGTGAGGTGTCCCAGGTCTGGAGCGATGGCTGACGGAGTCACACACACACACACACACACACCCACACACACACACACACACTCTGCTTCAAATGTGGTCTGTGGCTAAAATACCTGCTTGAAATGATGGAATTTAACCTACAGAATACACAGAGAAACAACTCTTCTCCCCTGAGGACTGGAATGGGCTCTGCGTCCCTT